GTAGACACTAGTCTTTCTAAATAAGCCTGTTAAGCTAATATCTGTATTCTCTATTTCAGTTAATCGATGAAGACATGTACCACGTGCATCTGCTGTATACTGTCATTTCACTCAAATTCTAACTGTTATATCTTACTTCAGAAAAATAAAATTGCTATATGCAGCAAATACAGACTTATTTGTTTTGATGGAGGTAGGGGGGTTCATGGGATTTTTACCAGGACTGTAATAATATTCTCACCATACAGGTTGCCATTGAGTTACTAGCGTTCCATTAGTGCGGGTAGAAGCATTGCTTGCCTACCATATGGCATTTGAATAAGAAGCTATGAGATTAGAAGCAGGTACGGTCAGGATGTATAACGCGTGTCCATCAGCTGCCATGACAACTCATGGTGGTTAGAATAAATTATGAGAGGACCCGAGTCTGTAGGTTTCCCAAGAAAATGACGAAGATATGTACTTAATCACTTAAATTTACTACATATGAACTAGGTGCTGCGAGGCTCGTGTATCGCAAATTTCTTGCAACGAATAAGTAGGTAAAACAAAGTAGTATTAGATTTAAAAACGTATTCAGGAACTTTCATTAAGAATCGATTATCAAACAAAGGTTTAAACGAAGTTTCCGTTTAAAAGTTGCATTGGTAATGTTAAGCTTCAGTCTTTGTTGTTTTTTCCCAAACGAAAGGGTAAAAGAAGTAACTCAAAAAGTAGTGGAAGTGGTTGCGAGACTAAAATTGACGTCCAGCATCCTATTTATAATCTGCTGTTAGTTGGGTCTCCCGTAAGCAGTTCCATAAGGCCATAGTTCTAAGGGCGAAACAGTTCTTAGGATCTGCGAAGGCTCACTCCTGTTGCATTCTAAATGGAAAAATAGTAATGAATTTAGTCAGAAATGTGGAATAGATAAATAACCAAATCACATGTTTTTTAGCAAAGAATTTATGCAGTTGTGATTTACCTTGAGTTCATGAATATTAGATCAGGTCAGCTACTATTACTTGTACAAAGCATAACATGGGGTTGGTACCGTATTGCAATGCTTTTATTATTTTGCTCCCATTTAAGTATTCCCATGCATCTGCGTCTAGTCTAACAGGAAGACACACAAGCAGAGTTAGTGTCTGATAAACAAAAAGTCCCAGTTGTCAAAAAGATCCTTAACACTTATCCACAGCCAGCTACATCTAATTGAGACACAGAACACTCATCTTCTAAGACTGTATACTGCTGTTTCGGGCAACTAAAAGCTCAGACACTTAGCTATCCTGCTACCGATGTTATTGCTGGGGAAATCGTTTAATGACAGTTATCTTGAAATATGGTCAGTGATAGATGTACAGTCTAGAAATAAACACCAAACATACTTAAGGCTATCTTATAATGTATGACAGCAACAGTGCCAGAGGCATTTTTTTCCTATTTTCAATCGGAATAATTTCAATCAGTATACTCATTAGAAACAGGCAGCTCTATTTACTAAAATGATCTGTTTCGTTACAGTCTTCAAGCACTATACTTAAGTATACCATAATTCTTCCGGCTAAACTGAACTGTACCAAAACCAAGAATACTAAACTAAGCAAGTGTCATAATTATTGTTTCATTTGCACAGACATGTTGCTCAAAGTAGTTAAATGGACATAATTAAGCCGATTAAACCAAAACACGAAATATAGGCCAGTCGAACTTAACTAACAGAAGATAAACGATATATCAATTGCCTTCTGGCTGAAGACATCAGTCACTTGTTCATAAAAACATAGTTCACAGTACAACAAACCTTTCTTCAGTAACATTATGCACTCATGGTCTATCTGGAAACAATCAACTATGTGATTAAACTCACTATAACTTGGGATATCATCCCAGCTCGCAATGAACGTACAGTGTAACGCAGTCGGACGTGGCGAATAAAAATCAAAAAATGAGCAAAATTAACGACATAATCTAGTTAAGTATTTAAAAATACATCATGAAATGACAAAATTTGTGGTTACTTGAACGCACAGATGACCGTTATTACACTGGGCGATACATTAAGTTTACATAGCTGCGTTGCGGATAAATTCATCCGCTTGTGTAATTTCTTTTTCCGATTGCAGATTATCTCCATTCATATTTAGCACACGACTGATCCATTCTATCAGCAATTACTTGGTGAGTACTCTGGGATATACCAAACGCAACCGAAATTGCCGTGTGTAACCACCAATGTTACACGTCACATCACGACTACACGACCACCTGCATTCTCGAAATCTTCCGACTGGCCCCCAAAATGCTGAGGTCGGCTAAAAACGGATTCGATCATATGATAGGCCTAAGAACCATTCTTCCAGCAAACAGGCCATGGGGTTTGTTGTGACTTTAATTTCCGAGTAGTTATCACGTAATTTATTCGTCAATCGAAATACGACTTATTCACTCTTACCCGTTGCCCCACAATCACGACTTGACAGCTACATCAAATGGTACAACTGTCTTTTCGAAAATCGACTTGGTTAAAGCCTATAACCGAATCCCCATGGCCACTTGACGACATTCTTAAAGCCACTACCATTACTCCTTTCGGTGTCTACGAAATTTCGCGCAAGCCTTTTGGCCTAATAAATGCTGCTCAGATCTTCCAAAGATTCATGGATGACGTTTCCCGAAGTTTCAACTTCGTACATGCGTATGCTGGTGACTGCTTGACTGCGATTTGGGACAGAGAATCTGATTTCCAGCATCTAAACCTTGTTTTTGAACGACTACAAAAGCACGATATTACTGTAAACATTCAGAAATGCCAAATCGGATCTGACTCCTTAAATTTCCTCGGACATACTATTGTTGCTCAAGGCATCCGACCTCTGTGAAGCAAACTGGCGGCTATTCTGGATTACCCAGAAGCGACCACAATTAGGCAATTACTCGCGTTTAACGGCATTGTAAATTTCTATAGACGGTTTATACCAAACTTCGTTTCCCTTGTGAAACCGTTAACCAACCAACTTCGTGGATATTTGAAATTCATCAATTTGGACGATAATGCTCGAAAAGTATTCTCCACAATTAAGGAACTTATCGCAAAAGCAACCATGCTTGCACATTAGGACGCCCAAGCATCCATTAGTATCACAGTACACTCATCCGACGTATAAATCACGTGATAATTATTCGGGCCTAAAGTCGTAGTAATCATCAAACCAAGTTGGGTTTAAGACTATCAGTTTGTCCAGTGGAAAGAGTAGATAACCATTTGGTGAGTTTGCATGCCTCTATGGAAATAATGAGTCATGTCTCTTGTTTGTTTTCGGAACATTCTATTCATAACTAGTAGGTCTCCCCAGGTACCTTATAACTCATTGAGGAACGTCGGTTTAATCCGGTAAACCACAACTTTTTGTAATAAAAGTAGGTTTGAATAAAGTCAAAAGTACTGCCTCAGTCGTTGTTTTGGCTATATTTATATTCGTCAAGGGAATAAGTTGCATGAAGCATAAATTATTAGGTACATAAACTTTAGAAATTTTGCATAAAAACTGAGAGACGTGTTCCTCAGAGAGTTCTAATGATTTGGAAACAGAAGCTGCATTTGGCAACTGCTAAAAGATAGTCTGAACATAACTTATCAAGGAACAGTTCAGTCGGTCTGCTGCTACGGTAACATCGACTAGTTTGTTCTGATTTTATAGACAGCGACGACTGATGCACACAACAAATTGTAGCGGTGGACGGTATTTGACGTGGTAAGGTGGCAAGAAAGACAGATGTATAGGACGGTCACCTGTACGTCCAAAGTGACTTCCCGGTTGAGTTCTGTGGTATAATGCAACTCTCACTGGTTTGACATGTTATTAGATATTAGCTCAGTATAGAAGCCAATGATAATCCTACTGTATTTTTATTTTGTATTCTTCACAAAAACCTAATGAAATCACCTAAATGAAGCAATTCTTCCTATTTATGTTCTTAGTTGAAATTTACCTCCTGTTTTATGTTACTCTCGTTCACTTATTTCTCTTGGTTCGTCAATTTTCCATCATACTCCCTCCTCATTCCACACTTTCATTTCCTTATTTGTGTGACATATATTTATTTTGGGACCTATATGTACCAGTATTTATGTATTATAAATACGTTCAAATAAATAGTGAACTCATTGTATTTGAAGATAAAGAACTATTTATGAAAACTGACCTCTTCATCCAATGACAGACTAATGGACCCATCCTCAAATAACTCTTTGTGCAACACTGTTCACGTTTCAACCCTATATTTCAAGTGTGATGTCTAGTGAGGTCTGTGAAACTATTTTAATGTAATCAAAATCCTTGTGTAATTTTTCAGTATAAACCTAAACTTATATGTTATTGTTTAAAAACTATGCAGAAGTTGTTTTAGACTTTTTTCCGGTTAGATTAAATTAACTCCTTGAAGAAAGCAAAATGAATCTAGCTGTAAGATGATTAAACTTTTAGTAATCGAAATTCTACGAACTTACATTATATAATTACAGTCGTGTTAACACCAAAGTCTGCCAGCTCATACTCAACATTAAACGACAGCATAAGGACACTAATTAAAAAATATGAGTAACATCATTCAACTTCGCTGGATTTAATGGATAAACACATTATCTGTTTTTCTTTGTTCAGGCAAAGTTCTATACAGCCTAACTAGGAGATTCATTATATCCTTGAAATGCATTATGTTAATAAAACAAACATCAAACTAGTCTCATTTTTAATTCATTATTATTAAACTGCTTATCACATTAATAATATCCTTTTTAAAACATAGTGGATTATAGTGGAATGAAATGTAAAAGTAGTCAACCCCATCTTAAGAGTAATGTAGGAATGACTAAGTGAAATAGCAGTAATAGAATGTGACTTATAAAAGTTGAGAGAATAAAAATTTAAAAGTAAGTAGCTTTACATTCAATAACTACTGAGAAAATCATCATTTTTGGAATAAACTGATAGAATAAACTGGTTCTGTGAGGTGAGTCACATAAAGTTGAAATATTCATATCTTTCATAAGCCAGTGTTTCTTCAGTATTATCATGTATATTTAAATGACCAAGTGATGACAAATCTCCATTCTTTTTCACTTGAATATACCAATCAACAAAATCTGCTCCCAACTTGTTCACAAGTATTTTGTCATCCATAAGACTATGTAGAGCCTGTTGAATTGTATTGGGAAGTACTTTACAGACACCAATTTGACCATTTGCTAGTTTCAAACCTGAAGGTGGAGGGTGTATCTGACGTTCCAAGCCATCTAGTCCAGCTGCTATTGTGGCAGCAAGCACATGGTAAGAACAAGATGCGGACGATGGTATACGATTTTCTATGTATGTCTGTTTCTCATCAAAGTTTTTTACACGAATTGATACATACCTATCATGAAAATCCCAATTCACACAGGAGGGAGCAAGATGTTTATGCAGTCTTCTGTAGCAGTTTACTGTTGGACAAGAAATAGCTAACATAGCTGGCAAATGTTCCAAGATGCCTCCAATCCAGTGACGAGCTAGAGTAGATAATCGATCAGGATCTGACGTGGCAAAAAATGTGAACTTTAGTTTAAATTACATTATTCATGTTCAGTTCATATTATACGCATAAAAATTTAAATAACATTAAAACATCTTATACATATATATATATATATATATATATATATATATATATATATATATATATATATATATATATATATATATATATATATATATGGAGAGAGAGAAAGTTGATAAATTCGTTCCAGTGCATGCATTTTTCATGTGTTATCTGGTTTTGTTATCCTACTATTTTAGGGTGAAATATATTTCTCAGATGTATAGTCAAACGGTATAATAATCTGTTCTAAAGTAGATAATAAATATTTAAGTATCAAAGTTGACACAAAGGATTTTGCAAACTACGAGATAAGTAGAAGAAAAACTCAGTTCGGATGAGATATCTTTGCATATTGAATAATGATAAGTTTGAATAGTTAAAAGCACGACAAACAGTTTTGTTTGTCAAATTAACTACACCTGTTTTGATCAAAATCCTCTATATATTCCGGAAATCTGTCGTCATCTGAAAGAAGGATATTTCGAGAAAGATATTCGTTATACCAGATAAATATTTAGTGGCGGAGATTTTGAGTAAAATGAAATATTTGCAAAATCAATCGATCGAGACTTACCTTTATCATCGTAAAATGCATTACGATTATTATCAGAGTACCACAGAGAATGGTTGTAATGACACCCACTAGAGCTGGAGTCCAGTAATGGTGTAGTCATAAACGAAATTTCCATCCCATGTTTAGTTCCGATTTCTTTTACAGCCTGTTTCAATATAAAATAATTATCTGCAGCCGACAACCCCCATGTTGGTATTAACGGACATTCTAACTGTCCTTCGCCATCTTCATTACTGTAATCTTGTATATCGATCCCTGCTAGCTGCATATTGTAATCGATATCCGCAAAATAGTTTTCATAAACGGACAGTAAACTTGTTCTGTACATGTCTCTAAAATTTGTCCAAGGGATTGGCTTTTTAAGGTCAATAAATTGGGTAACGTCGTTCGACTTTGGTTCTAAACACGATGACTCATAGCTTCCCTTTACAAAAGCCCTAAACTCCGGTTCAAAAGCTGAATATAACCGTAGATTATATTTATCCTCCAGCTCTTTGATAAGCCTCTGAGCAACAAATCTTGGATAGGCATACATTGGCTGGTTATTAGGCCAGTATATATCGCACAAAACGGAACAAAATGAATATTTACCATCTTCTCCGTTCAAAAACATGTTCTTGTCCTTTTGTGTGTAAGGATAATTCTTTTGTGAAATCCAATGACACGGATGCAGAGTCGAGAAATCTGGCTTCAAAACACTGTTAATATGTTTCCTTTCAACCACTTCTGGGATGCTGATCATCTAAATGTGAAGACAGCTCAAATTTATTGTGACTGATAATTTTTCGCAAATAGAAAACAAAATGAAGTACACTTTTATTGAAATAATGGATTATAAAATTTGCAGATGAAGTAAATTATAAAACTGAAACAAGAAAATAAGAACTTCTAAAAATCTACTGTGTATTGAGAATTAATTCATAATTGTGGATCACATATCTCTAAAATGCTGCTTAAACCATCATTTCAATTTAATGGAAGTGTGGTGTGTGTTACTTACACGGACAGTTATAAGTAGAATGTATCAAGGATTGAAAGTATGATTCTCACTGACAGAAGAGAAAAATAACAAAAAAAAATTAGTCGGAGTGGCAATAGGGATAAAAGAACGATGGAATTTGTGAAAAACAATCCAAGGAAAATGTGCAAATGATGTATTCAATGTGTTGTTTTCATATTTTGCAAATGCTGGGTTCATAATGAAATTACTTCAGTTAGTAAATAGGATGTAACAAAGTTATAAATTGTCGACAAATAGATCAGTTGAGAGGAATTCTAGCATGATTAGGTAGGCTTTTAATCGGTGCAGATAGAATTTGATAACGATATTACATTTAATTAGCTTAATTGCTTGTGTAGTTTCCATTGAAACCGTAAGTGTTCGCAAAAGCTGACTGATAATTTGTTGAAAATTAAAAGTTTTGGTTGACTTTGTTTATTGTCCTGAAGCACCACTAGGCCTTACCATCATTATTACTTTGATTAATGAAGTATATCTTTTGTATGAATGATACACATAGTAAATCCCTATTCAGTAGTCTGTTGTGACCTATCAGTCACAACTCATCACACTTATCCAAATAAAAAACTGGAATAATAAGAATCGATGACTATGATGCTGTACAGAACTAAACAGATGGGACATAACTGCTATTATGAACGAGATAAAACTGCTTGGTTAAATCGTATAACAATTTGTTTAAAACGAAACAAAATATTTTCTCACTAAACTTTCTGATCATAACCGATTGAATGTATCCATGGATTCTATTTGCCTGCCCCTTCATTTAAGCCAATAACAGTGTTATCCTTTATGATAAGGAAAATTATGTTTATATTCTTAATTTCTACTGTATTTCAAGGGAGTTCTTATGAAAAACGGAAACAATATTGCCACCTGAGGCTCCATTTTCAGGAAAGTCATAATCACGGCCGTTCAGAAACTGGTTTTGCAAGTGACAATATATTCTAAATATAGCCATATAATAACCAAATTGTTCAGTAAGTGGTTATTTTCCTTGAATACAAACTTTTGACTGTAAAGAATATGGATCTGAAGTATGTTGAGTTTTCAAGTGAGTATTCTACAATAGACGTTTTAACCTAAGCGAAATATTTAAAAACATCAACAATTTTTTTTTAATTTTTCCCATCAAATAAGGATTAAGCAGCCAAGAGCTTAAATTGTATATACATAAGATGCATGTATTTTTAAGAAAAATCGTGATTTATCTTCACTTACTTCGAATCTTGGTCCGAATGCTATAGACCCTGAATACATTTCCACCTGGCCCATTGCCAACTTCTTAGCAAAGCGGGTAGGAAGCAACTTACTCAGATGGATTCCATTTATATCAGGAAGACTGAGTCTAATGAAGTCATACTTCTCGACATCTTTAATGAATCCTTTCATTTCATCTGATAAATCCACTTCATTTTCTGATTTCAAAACAATTTTACCAAACTCTGATTTTATCTAATAATAAGGAAAGTAAAATGTACTGTTTTCACGCTAATCGATTCAACCGTATGGTAAAATGATGAATATTAAGTGATCTTAGATATAATCCTAGTAAAATAAAGTATATTAAATTTAAAAACTGAATTAGTTGGATCTTTAGTATGAGCTATCTCCCTTATGTTTTTGAGATTGTTTTTTTTAATTTTTTGCAAGGATAATAAAAGTCATTGATTATATTAATTTTGGTAAATTTCATAACATCCCTTCTATGTAAGCCAATAAATAAAACATTTTAAATTATTATTCAGACACTGAACGAAAATGAATCACTGGTTATTAATAAAGTACCCTTATACTTGGAGTGTATGATCAAATAAAGATTCCTAATCTACTAATAAGCGATTAACAAAGAATGTTTGATATCTAAGTTATTCTTAGGCTACTTAATTAGAAATTTGTAAAATGCTGTAATATACTGTGACCAATTAATAAGTTGTGAAGTGATACATAAAACAATGATTTCTTGAAGATGACTAGTTCATATAAGATCTGTTAGAAAAAATAATATTCCAAACCGTGATTTAAATGTATCAAAGTGTAACCAAATAGCTGAGAAATATATTTATTGGACTTTACTCCATCTCCATCAACTGATATCACCTGTTTTTTACGCCACAGTCATAATCACAACTATTTAATACATCATGATAAAAAGAGGTCACTTTTAGTATTGCCTGTACCACCTTGTTCTAATCAGCTTACATCACTACAAAACTTAAGGAATCATGAACCAGTTCATATAAATAAAAAATATTTTAAATAATAACCCTTTTATCTAAGTTGTCCAAATATATAACATGAACTTTTAAAATAATAGGTGGAATCACAATGGGGGGTTGTGGAGATTGTAGTAATTTTGATAGTTGGATTCATGAGTCAATGTAAGCTAGAGTTCTGGTGAGAAGCCGTAACCAGTGGAGTTCAATCCGTATCGGGTAGAGACAGGTATCTAACTTGGATAATGGATGAATGACTGCGCAAGATCGTGGGTTGATTGTAGTTAGACATTAACACCGGTTGATACCGGCCCAGTGGTCTAGAGCTTAGGCGTTCGTGCGCGAGACCGAAAGTCCTGGGTCCGAGTCCCATATACGAGGTCGTGGATGCGCACAGCTGAGAAGTTTCATACTAGGACGAAACGGCCATCCAGTTCTTCCAGGTTATAAGTGGTGGTCTAGCTTACATCGACTCATAAATTCAACTTTTAGAATTGGAACCCCTGAAATTGTATTATCTTTCATCATATTCATAGGAAAAACTTACAGCTTACATCAGTGAGCAATAATGATGTAAACAAGGTCAAAGCAATAAATGCATGAATGCTTGAGAAATTATTGCTAAAACTTGTAAATTATTCAATTTACGTTCGAAACCGTATGTGCGTAAACTCATCTAAAAGTATGGGAAAGCTGTATTTTAAACAAGTTATTCCTTTATCACATAGGTCAGACAACAACAAGATTACAACATAAGAATAATAAGATCTATGTAATAAGAAGAGGCATGACGGACAATTTGTCGATTAATATTTTTCAACTAATGGGTGAAATGTAAGAATAACTGAAGAATCAGTAGACTATTTTTTTTAACAATAGCAGCTACTCATAATCTGTTTTTCAAGTTATCTAAACACAACATGTTCATTTATCACAAGTTGATGCTCGATACCGTCGTATATAATTTGATATTTTTGTGCCAAATTATCATGGATTCACATTTTTTCTTTTACCAATATCTTCTTGGAAAACAAATGGAACTTAATTCACTTAACGTGTTTATTAAATTTTAGTGGTTTTAATAACAAGACTAGCGTACAAAGAAATGTAGCTTATGCTCATTGAAAATCAAGCACATTCATTGAATGAATGGTTTCACTTAAAGAAAATATGTTAAAACATTTCAATACCATTAGAAAACCTGAATTTGAAAAAATACTTTATTTTAATTGTTCAGGATAAGTTCTGTACATATAAAATTCAAGCCTCATCTCACTTTAAAACAGTCATCAAGTAGTAGTTGACTACATACACAACTGTTAATCTGCTTTTGACAACCATCTGAATCCAGTCTTCTTCATAAATATTTATGTATCACCCGATTTTTCACCCTGTTTTCAGTAGTCTTCTAAAATAAATTTCCTGTCTTGTGCACAGTTCTTTCGAGTTATACTTGAAAGTTTAACATTAATTTTCTTAAGGAAGAAATTCTCTCTTTAAATAAAATTTGCTTACTACCGAAAGGTGAGAAATAACTGAAAATAGGACAAAAACAACTTATTTCCTAAACGTATTTTAATAACACTCTAGTGATGAGATCCTCAACGGTCACTTATGAAAATAATGACAAATCCTGTTTGATAAGAAGTCACAAGAAGTGGCATGGATATTTGTAGGAAAAGTGCCAATTATTAGAGCTTCTGTTGCATGTTACTGTGAGAAAAATACATAACAAAAGGAGTTGATCCTAACAAAAGTTTATAGAAAACTTATATTCAAACAAGTCATGATAAAAAACAGAACCTTTTGCGATCGTATGATTATATAATTGTATTTATTCATTGTGTGCATTTAAACATCCTTCCAACAAAATTGGACGAGAGACTTGCAGTAAATGTGGCAGATACACCTAAATTATTGTATTTGTCATTAACAATTTAGTTAACTAGGGTATATGAAACAGTAAGAATTCACGGCTAATTCACTCAAAATCCAATGAAAGTATATAACTTTTATAGATTTATCTGAAGTTTTTCTTAAACGGAAATGTTATTTAGGATAACGATACTTATTTAGGTCATATTAAGATTCAAAAAGCATCTGAAGTTCAATTTAATCCAATTATTAATGAGGTTATAAGTATCATTATCAAGGTTTGAAGTGATAATTTCAAATAAATTGAGCATTATATAGATTGTTATTAATAAAAATAAAATATATTTATAATAATCCAATGAGTAGGAAATTTGAAAATTTAATTTTTCTACTCATATATTATTTTTATTAACATCTGAGGTAAACTTCATTGGGCAATAAAGTGAAGAAACTTCAGTTTCTTGAAAGACTTGAGGAAGAACCTGAACTCTTTCACACTATAGATTACTCAACATACACAACATATTCAAGGACAGATCGGAACTTATGGTCGTGTGAGTGTAGTACTCAGAAAGTATGACGACATAGGAAAGTTTAATGGATTAGGTCTTGACAAAAAAATTATTTAAA